CATTCTCTGGCGGGGAATGCTAAGAGGTGGTTGGAGACCCAGCCCCCATTGTCCATCACCTCTTGGGACGATCTGGCTGACAAATTCGTGCACAGGTACTATCCGGCATCGAAGACTATAGAGATCCAGCGGGAGATCACTCACTTCCGCCAAGAGCCAGATGAGTCACTTCGTGATGCATGGGAGCGGTATATGGGATATTTCTGGCAGTGTCCCCATCATGGCTTTAGTGATGCATTCACAGTGGGGAACTTCTACAGTGCCCTCTCTCCAGATAGCCAGAGGGTGATTGAGTCTCTATGCCCAGGAGGGGATATTCTTACTAAGACTCCACCTGAGCTGAACCAGATGATCAGTACTTTGGCTGCCAGAGATAATTCGTGGGGACAGGGTAGCCGAGGCAGACAGTCCTGGGACCGTGGTGTGCACGCCATGGAGACCAGATCTGGGCTCGAGCAGCAGGTAGCTGAGCTAGTGCAGACATTGAAGCAGCCCAACAGTCTTATTCCGGGCAGAGGTTTGGCTACACCTCCAGTTGCTCAATGTCAGTGGTGTGAGAGCTCGAATCACTTAGTGGAAGACTGCCAGGCTATGAGGGAGTCTACCACTCCCCAAGAGCAGTTGGACTTCATCGCCAATGCTCGGCGCCTCGACCCTTACAGCAACACATATAATGAGGGGTGGCGCCAGCATCCCAACTTCGCCTGGAGCAGCAACACCACTAAACCACCTGGTTTCCCAGCACCAGCAGGTGGTTTTCAGCAGAGGCAGCCCTTCCAGCTCGACAGGGGCCAGCCCCACAGCAGCAGCCCTACCAGCCTAGGCAGGGGCAACCATTCCAGCAGCCCCAGCGCCAGTTTGCCGAGCCGGTAGCAGCTCCGGCCCCAGATGACCGGATGACAAAGCTGGAAAATATTCTAGCTTCATTCATGACTAGCACTTAGGCTGCTATCACATCACTGGAGGCAGGTCAGTGGAACCAGGGTGCCATTTTGCAAGATCTGCAGACCCAGGTGGGCATCTTGGCCCGCCAAAACACTACCAGGGCACCGGGGACTCTGCCTGCCACCACTATCCCGAATCCATGGGATCCTCACCAGCTCCATCAGCTGGATGCCATTTTTACCAGGAGCGGTAAGACCATATCTGCTGATCCTGTCCCGGCCAGACAGGAGGAACCACCACCTGCTTCAGCTCTTCCAGCCGACGATGCAGAAGTGCGGGTGGAGAAGGAAGCCCCTGCTCCCAAGCCACAACCAGTGGTTAAGGAGCATGTACCCCAGCTTCCTTCCCCACTCGCCTACACAAAGACAAGCTGGAGACTGAGTTTGCCAAGTTTATGGCAATGTTGAAGCAGCTCAACATCAGCATACCGTTCGTGGAGGCACTGTCGAAGATGCCCAAGTATGCCAAGTTCATGAAAGACCTCCTCACCAACAAGAAGAAACTTGGGGATCTCTCGACAGTGTTGCTGAGCGAGGAGAGTTCTGCTATCCTGCAGAACAAGGTGCCCGAAAAGCGCAAGGATCCAGGGAGTTTTACTATCCCTCTTACTATTGGCAGCATGCATGTAGGCAAGTCCTTGGCGGACCTAGGCGCTAGCATAAATGTCATGCCATATAAGTTGTATAAAAAGCTAGACCTAGGTGAACTTAGCCCTACTAGGATGAGCATTCAGCTAGCTGATCGTTCCATTGTGCATCCTAGGGGGATCATAGAGGATCTGCTTGTTAAAGTAGGTGCATTCACATATCCTGTTGATTTTGTTATTCTTGATATACATGAGGATGTGGATGTGCCTTTGATTCTGGGTAGACCATTTCTTGCCACCGCCAAGGCACTTATTGATGTGCATGATGGTAAACTGATCTTGCGTGCTGGGAATGAACAGGCTACTTTTTCTGTGACTGAATTCGATCACTGTGCTATGATTGCTGTCACACCTGTGCATGCCATTTCTGATCAGGTACACGAGCCTGTCGTGTATCCTTCTGCACCTCTTATTTTGCAGGACCCTCCTATCATTCCTCCGCCGCCACTCCATCCAGCCTCGCCTCCGAACAAAAAGCTCAAGGAGGAGTGGCAGCCGAAGCAGCAAGTTGCTAAGCCTGCACGGAAGAAGAGTGGAGACCACTATGAGCTGGTCCCACCTCCTGCACCACGACCACCCTGGCCGTCCGGTTACTCACTCGCCTGCATCTTGCCGGATGGCCAGGTCGAGCTGACCGATGATGGTGGTCGCATCCGTCGGGTGCATGGCCACAACCTGAAGCTGTACCTCAAGAGCGACGTGGATCCGCTCTTGGAGGCACCTGTTCCTTCACTTCCCTGCGTATCCACCATGGGCGTCCAGCTAAAAGACGGTAAAGAAGCGCTTGTGGGGAGGCAACCCCACCATGGTTTGACTTTCTTTCTTGTGTTTTGAGTCGGATTGTAAACCGGTTTGGTTTTGGTTTGTTTTCTTTTGTTTTGGATGATGTCTTATTGGGTTGACATTGGACCTAACATATTGTGTTTGAGCTCTTCTGTTCCCCTTTAGCTGTGCTTGGCTTGACTGGTCCTCTATCCAGTTCGCGTCACTCGACTGGTCCGCTTCCAGCCTCTTGCAGTCCGTGCATACCGGTAACATCGTTCCCCTTTCCCTTCCCTCTTCTCCATTGAGGGCAATGTCGATCTTAAGTGTGGGGGGATGTTTATCTTTAACTGCATTAGATCTGTTTGTGTGCTTGGAGCCTAGTCCACTGTCCAAATTTTTAAATTTGAGGGCTCCAAGTACGTGTTTCCTTGCAATTGCCTGCTCAGTATGCTTTGAATTGACAGTCTTTATAGTAATATGCAACCTAGGGAGGTAGTGTAGCACTATGGAGGATGTTGATGCATTTAAGAAGTCTCATTTCTTCTTCATATTGTGTTGGTTGATTGAGTGAATTAGTGATCTTAGGACCCTTGAATGGTGTGGTGTTGTGGACTCTCTACCTGTCATGGACTCTTGTTTCATGTTTTGAGTTTAACAGGTGCTCGAAAATGTGCTTCAAAATAACGTCTCCCGTGCGAATAGGGCGAAAGTGTGTAAGGGGAGACGGGAATTCGTTCCCAATTTCCACCTACTACCTCCAGCCCCCTTACATGTCTTTCCCCCGCACGAGGCTCGAGACATCCGCTCCTAGCATGGCCGGTAAGAGCAGGTTGGGACCCTTGAAAAAAAAAGAAAAAAAATGACTAGAAAACAAGCAAAACAGAAAGAAAAGGGGTTCCAACCATCTTCAAAGAATATAGAGCACCTTGAAAAATGTGAGTCCATGATCTTTTGTTTTTGAGAATCTCTTCATCCACAATTCATTTGTCCTCTGTTCACTATTTGCCATGATGCCGACTCGATACTAGTGCTCTCGCCGAAGAAGCTATGAGATGACTTGTGCGTCGGTTGACCTCGTAAGCTGCTAAATGATCTAGGAAGTCCTCTACCTACGATCTGGGTTGTTTGTTGCTATAGAGGTCTGAAGAGTTGCATTGGTTTGAGTTAGGTTTGCTTGGGGACAAGCAAACGGTTAAGTGTGGGGGAGTTTGATAACGATGTAATTGCACATATTTGCACCCCCTAGTTCTTATCCGTTTGAGGGGCATAGTCGTGTACTTTTGGCCTATTTTACGCCGGGTTGTGCTATTTTGTCATATTTCAGGTCCCAGGCGTCAAAGGAAAGGCTAAGCACGAGTTTCGGGGCATTCGAAAGTCATTTCGTCGAGCTGGAGCCAAAACACGGGCACACCTAATTCATTACACGGCCGTGTTCTCCCAAAGCATGGCCGTGTTCTCTCCAAAACACGGCCGTGTTCTGTGGCCGTGCTTTTATTGCCGAGAGCTAATTCGAGTTTGGCAAACATGAGCTGATTACACGGGCTGAAAGCACGGGCGTGTTCTCCCAAAGCATGGCCGTGTTCTCTCCAAAGCACGACCGTGTTTCTCCCAATGCACTGGCCATGTAATTAACACTAGCCAAAGCACGGGCGGGCTGAGGCAAAGCACGGTCGTGCCCTCGAGCGTGCTTTGGCCAGTGATGCCTTTTTAAGCAGATTTTCAGCCAAAGAGAAGGGGATGGGAGTTTTTGAGAGAGAGAACGATTCCTAGAGAGAGAAAGCGACGAACAAGAGTCTCCAAGTGCCCTAGATTGATCTTCAACACCATTGGAGGCCAGTTTGAGCTTGGAGAAGTACCGATCAACGTCCAGGAGCAGGAATCCATCCTTCACAGTATGAATTCCGCGTCTGATTCTGCTTTTGCTTCTTTCTCCATGGAGTAGTTCTCCCATTCATCTGGGTATGGAGAACCCAAGATTTGTATGTTAGGCTTTGATTGTATGAACCCAAGTACTGATTCTATGATTTGATTATATTCGATTGAGGTTAGAATGATTGAATGACTTGAATCCTGATCAAATTCCTGTTGTGTCTGCTTTAACCTAGAATGAGAATATCTGCCTAGGTTGATAGAGCGTCCTTGATTGAAGGTAGGGAGTTGGTGACTTTAGTCGAGGAGCCAACTCACTATTCTGTACCGGTAGAGGAGGTTTTGTTTGTTAAGGCCTCAATCTGTTTACTCCGGTGGAGGTTAGTCGCCCGCTAGAGACTCAGATTGAGAGGGTCTGAAGACCTTTAGTCGAGACTTCAGGCTGTTTAAGAACCTTCCGCAGTATAACTATCATAGAAACTGAACTTGGTAATTACAATCCGGCTTAACTGCAGTCTAGGGGGAACCATATCCGGGTGACCTCACTTAACCTGAATACAACAGTTTACTTGCTTTGTTAGTTTGTTAGTTTAAACCTGCATTAAAGTTTCATTGCTAGATAACAAGAATTCACTGAGTAGTCATCAAATCTAGGACCCGGGTTGATAATTAAACCTAAACCCGCTATACTACGCTTTAGGAAGTGGTTTCACTTGGCCAATTCCTAGGGTGACAGTAGAAGTGAGTCAGAGGGGTACACGACAGGATCATTTACCTAGTGAGAAATAGCATGCATAGGTGTGACAGCAGGCATATCACAATGATCGAATTCAGCCACAGAAAAAGTAGCATGTTCATTCCTAGCACGCAGGGTCAGTTTACCAGTATGCACATCAATAAGGGCCTTGGCGGTGGCAAGAAATGGTCTACCCAGAATCAAAGGCACATCCACATCCTCATTTATATCCAGAATAACAAAATCAACAGGATATGTGAATGCGCCTACTTTAACAAGCATATCTTTTATGATACCCCTAGGATGCACGATAGAGCGATAAGCTAACTGAATGCTCCTCCTAGCAGGGCTAAGTTCACCTAGGTCCAGCTTTGTAAACAAGTTGTATGGCATGACATTTATGCTACCGTCTAGGTCCGCCAAGGACTTCCCTATATGCATGCTGCCAATAGTGAGAGGGATAGTAAAACTCCCTGGGTCCTTGCGCTTTTCAGGCAGCTTGTCCTGTAAGATGGCAGAGCATTCCTCGCTTAGCATCATTGTCGAAAGATCCCCAAATTTCTTCTTGTTGCTGAGGAGATCCTTCATAAACTTGGCGTACTTGGGCATCTTCGACAGTGCCTCCATGAAAGGTATGTTGATGTTGACCTGCTTCAACATTGCCATGAACTTGGCAAACTCAGTCTCCAGCTTATCTTTGTGTAGTCGAGTGGGGAAGGGAAGCTGAGGTACATGCTCCTTAACCACTGGTTGTGGCTTGGGGGCAGAGGCTTCCTTCTCCACTCTCACTTCTGCATCGTCGCCTGGAAGTGCTGAAGTAGGCAGTGGCTCTTCCTCCCGAGCCTGGGCAGGTACCACAGATGTGGAATTTCCACTCCTGGTGGTGATGGCATTCAGCTGCTGATGCGGCTCCCGTGGATTGGGTATGGTAGTGGCAGGCAGAGTCCCCGGTGCCCGGGTATTAATCTGGCGAGCTATGTCACCAACCTGGTTCTGTAAATCCTGCAAAATGGCACCCTGGTTCCTCTGGCCTGCCTCCAGTGAGGCTATGTTCTGGTCCATCCTTGTGAAATTCGCCTGGCTGGTAGTCATGAATGCCGCTAGAATGTTTTTCAGCTCCGTCATCTGATTATCTGGAGCCAGAGCTGTTGCTGGCTCAGCATACTGACGCTGAGGCTGCTGGAGTGGTTGCCCCTGCCTAGGCTGGTAGGGCTGCTGCTATGGGACTGGCCCCTGTCTAGCCTGGTAAGGCTGCCTCTGCTGAAAACCACCAGCTGGTGCTGGGAAACCAGGTGGTTTGGTGGTGTTGCTACTTCAAGCGAAGTTGGGATGCTGGCGCCACCCCTCATTGTATGTATTGTTGTATGGATCAAGGCGCCGAGCATTGGCGATGAAGTCCAACTGCTCTTGGGGAGTAGAAGACTCCCTCATAGCCTGGCAGTCTTCCACCAGATAATTCGAGCTCTCACATCACTGACATTGAGCTACTGGATGTCCGCCCAGACCCCTGCCCGGAATAAGACTGTTGGGCTGCTTCAATGTCTACACTAACTCAGCCACCTGCTGCTCGAGCCCAGACCTGGCCTCCATGGCGTGCACACCACGGTCCCGGGAATTCCTGCCTCTGCTGCCCTGCTCACAGGAATGATCTCTGGCAGCCAAGGTACTGATCATCTGGTTCAGTTCGGGGGGAGTCTTAGTATGAATATCCCCTCCTGGGCATATAGACTCAATCACCCTCTGGCTGTCCGGAGAGAGGGCACTATAGAAGTTCCCCATGGTGAATGCATCACTGAAGCCATGATGGGGACACTGCCAGAAAAATCCCATATACCGCTCCCATGCATCACGAAGTGACTCATCTGGCTCTTGGCGGAAGTGGGTGATCTCCCGCTGAATCTCTGTAGTCTTAGATGCCGGATAGTACCTGTGCACGAACTTGTTGGCCAGATCGCCCCAAGAAGTGATAGACAATGGGGGCTGGGTCTCCAACCACTTCTTAGCATGCCCCCGCCAGATAATGGGGAAGAGGTGAAGGCGGATTGCATCATCAGAGACATCGTTCAGCTTGAACCCGTTCGTCAGCTGCAGGAAATGGGACAGGTGCACCCTTGCCTCCTCATCCTTCAAGCCATGAAAATGGACAGATAATGTAATGAGTTGAATCCGGCATGGCTTGATCTCGAAGTTGTTCGCTGGAATGGGCGGGTAGAGGATGACAGGACGGATATCGGCAACCCGTGGAGTGTAGTAGTACTCCAAGGTGGGCCCAGCGGCGCTGGATGATGAATAACCCCATCTGCATGGGGTATGGGGTTGTTCCCCAATATCTGATACCGGGGGAACCTGGAGAGGATTCCCCTGGTGTGGGTTGTGTTCGCCTTCCATCTCGTACTCTTCCTCGGAATCGCTGCTCAAGTGGCCGTCTGTGCGCTCCTCCGCAGCCAGTCTAGCTCGCTGTTGTCTCCTAAGTTGGCGACAGGTGCGTCAAGCTCTGGATCCAACGACAGTAAACCTCCCGACTGGCTACAGGTCATGCACTACCTGCACACAGTCAAGCAAGCAAACCCGTGAAGGCACAAGTGTGACAAAGCAAACAAAGCGAAAAAGAAAAGATAAATTAACAGAATTCACGTTTCTTCAACAACCTAGCCGTCCCCGGCAACGACACCAAAAACTTGACTCGCTCTTACCGTCACTCTAGAAAATGGCCAAGTGTAACCACTTCCTAAAGTGTAGTATAGCGAGTTTGGGTTTTAATGTCAACTCGGGTCCTAGATGTGATGACTTCTCCGTGTGTTCTTATTATTTAGCAGTGAAACTTTAATGCAGGTCTAAACAAGCAAGCAAACAAGCAATTAAACGGTTGTTTTCAAGTCGAGAGAGGTCACCCGGATACGGTTCCCCCTAGATTGCAGTTAAGCCGGATTGTAATTCACCAAGTTCAAGTTCAAAGATAGTTATAATGCGGAAGGTTCTCAAACAGTCTGAAGTCTCGACAAAAGGTCTCCAGACCCTCTCAATTTGAGTCTCCAGCGGGCGACTAACCTCCACCGGAGTAAACAGATTGAGGCCCTAACGAACCAAACCTCCACTACCGAAGCAAATTCGGTACAGAATAGTGAATTGACTTCTCGACTAAAGTCGCCAATTCACTGCCTTCAATCAAGGGTGCTCTATCAACCTAGGCAGATATTCTCTTTCTAGGTTAAAGCCGAAACAACCGGAATTTGATCAGGATTCATGCCATTCAACAAATCAAACCTCAATTGAACATAATCATATCAATGAATCTGTACTTGGGTTCATACAATCAGACCTAACATACAAATCTAGGGTTCTTCATACCCAGGTGAATAAGAAAACTACTCCATAGAAAGAGATGGGAAATCTAGCTCAGATGCGGAAACCATACTGTGAAGGATGATAATATGCTTCTGGCACTCAATCAGGTCTTCTCCAAGCTCAAGTCGGGCTCCAATGGTGATGGAGATCGATTTATGACACTTGCAGAGTCAGGTTCGTCACTTTCTCTCTCTGGGTATCGCTATGTCTCTCTAAAACTCGGAACCCCCTTTCTCCTTTGCTAAAAATTGGGTTAAAAACCAGAAAATCCCGACTCACAGGCCGTGACATCCCCAGCTGCCCGTGTGAGATGTGCAAACCGCGGCGTTTTGATAAGTGACTCAGGCTTCGTACACGGCACCAACCCACACGGTCGTGTGATATTCCAGGATGCCTGTGTGAGTTCCCTGGAATTTCCACACGGCCACAGGGGGTCCCCCAAACGGCCCGTGTGACTTTGCCCGTGCAATTTGGTGCCACACGGCCGTGTAGGTTTTAGGCGTGCCCGTGTGGTTCCATCAGCTTCACGCCACATGTCCAATCTTCGTCCAATCGAGAATCGACATCTCCAACGGCTCAAGAATAGGGGTAAAAACATGTGCAATTAACGGTCTATCAATCATCCACTCCCCTTAAGGAGTAGTAGGTTCCGGGGGTCGGCTAGCCTGTGGGGAACTGGGCATTGGTTGATCCTGTGTCTCCCCCTGTTTTTCACAATGACATACCGTCCTCTCCCTATACTGACCGTAGTGGAGGCAGATTTTTTCCAGTCCTTCGTATGCTATGAAGTATTTCTTGCCTTCAATCCGGAACTGTGACAGTAGCGGCTTGGTGAGATCTACTTGCATGCACACTCTAGCATATTCCCCTCTATCAGCTGTAATGGTCGCTTGGTCAACACGAAACGGTTTCCCAATCCGCTGAGCAATTTTCATCACCGCATTCTCGTGGAAAAATTGGATTGGTATCTCTAGTAGACGTTCCCAGACCTTCGTAGATAGGATTTCTCTCTCATAGGGGTCAAAAGTTTTATGCCACATATGCACTGTGAGATAGTTGTCTCCCACCATCCATGGACCTCCTGTGATCGCTCTCTCATAATCCACCCCACTTATAGATCGTACCAGATAGAACCCATTCCTAGTGTATGTGATCTGTAACCCTCCAGCTTTCGCCCATAACTGGTTCAGGCGGCGTGATATGGCCGTGTAAGACGTAGTTCTCCCCAGGACCTTAACCACCAGGGCTGAACGCCATGGGAGGCAGAAGCTACGCTTCTCAGCAGCAGAAAATTGGATTTCCGGGCAGATCGGGTCAATTTCCTCATCAGCAGTAAACTCTAGGCCATCTTCAAGGATGGCTTCCGCACACTCCTCCGAATCTGAATCGGCTACATACCACCTATCAGTTCGGATCACATCGCTGAATAAACATCTCGCTGTACTAGTTCCTTGGTCCCATGCCTTTGTCGGACCTTTTTGCGGCATTGCGTTCGGTGACTCCATGGAATCATCAAGGATGACATCCTCTTCTCCACTTACTGTGGGTTCCGCCAGCATGGGTTTAGCCCTTTTCTTTGTATGTTGAGTTTCCCGGTCCCCGAGTTTGTTGGGCGACGATGACTCAGTCGGTGGCCGGACTTTGCCTGCCAAAACATCACCTTGGATCTGGTTTCGGACTCCCCCGCCAGGCACAGGCGGAGGTGCCCCCGTCATGGTGGCGGGGTTTCTGAACTTTCGAGGCCTTCGATTGCCGTTCGCGTGCTCCTACTTTCTCGGAGCAAAAAACCCTATTCCCCTTAATGCGACTTTCTCATTTTTGGGGTGGAGTTTTGGGACGGGATTACTATTTAACGCCCTAACTTTTTAAAATTTTCGCCCTACATTTACAAAACAGACGATATTACCCCCAATTTTCTAAAGTCCCCAATCCATTGCCCTAACCCCTAATTTTTCTCTACTCGTCGCCGGCGAAAGAAAGGCATGGCGGCGGCGCCCAAGAAATCATCGTCGTCGCCCTAATTTTTCTCGTGGCGGCTGCTATGCTTCTCGTTCCACCCTGTCGACGCCGCCAGGCCCTAGAAATCATCGTCGGCGCCCTAGAGCAAAGCTGGGCTCGACAGGGATGGATTTTCAGAGGGCGGAGAAGGTTTTCAGGCGGCGGTTGTAGATTTTGAACGGTAGAGATCGGGATGAGGTTGGAGGCGGCCAGCGGGCATCGGGTTGTGGGTGGACGTCGGCGTTGAGCAGGGATCCGACGTCGAGATACGCGGTGTTCAGCGTCGCGTCGGAGACCTCGAACCGTGGGTTGTGTGGGCGGTAGACAAGGTAGACGATGAGGACGATTAATCCGACGAGGAAGAAGGCTATCCAGAAGATCGCGCAGCACACGGCGGGATCAGCTTGTGGGTGGACGGCAGCGGGGAGGTGGGTGGAGTGGAAGACAGGGAGGTGTTTCTGCCGGCAGGGTTGGGTTGGCCGGTTGGGTTGGGACCTGGGTGGACGACTGTCGACGTTTAGGTTTTTTTTGTTAGAAATTAAAGTTAAGGGTAAAAGAGTCAGTTTTGTATGTTTAGGGCGATATTTTCAAAATTTTAGGGCGTTAATTAGTACCTCTCTTTAAAAATTGTGACACGAATTATTGTGGCAAAAAATAACTTTAGCTACCAATATTTTAGCGGTGCAAGCCTGTATAGTTAAATTCAGTTAACCGTTAGACTGAATATGAGTAAAGCCAAATCGAAAATTAAGATAAATGAATCAGTGAAAGCAGTCGAATCTACAATTGATAAGATTCGGTTTGATTCAATTTTCAATCAGGCCACTTTTATTTAATTATTATTATGAAACTTTTAGCATATGAATCGAACTGTTTTCGATTGAGGTTGATTCAATCTAAATATAAGAAGATATATCTAATGATGAATTTTATCCGATGAATTTCCCCATTCCCACAATTATAAAAACCATTTTTTTACAACATTAAAAAACCATTTTTCAACAAAACGCATTGTCTTCTAGTTAGAAGACAAGTTTTGGCATTTGTTCCACAGAAAAAAGCCACGAAGCAGACAGAGGTTGAAATTAAGGACGAATTGGTCATCGTTTGGGCTTGCATTAGAATAGGAGAATATTATCAATTACACTTTCGTACGAAACGCCAATAAGATGTGGCTGCTATACTTTGATCTGTATATTCTTAGAATTTGGTACGTACCTTCACATATATGTGCATAAGAGGGATTAATTGTGTTAATTAGGTCCGATTGGCATTAAGAGTGTGATTAAATCAATCAATTTCAATATTCAAGTTTAATTTGTTGAGAGTTCTGTCAGGTTGGTGTGCTTAAGTTTGACAAATCTAGAATCTAATCACAAGACAAATACGACTGTCCCCAGGAGGCATGAGACCGTTCTTTGTAAAAAATGAAGAAAATATAAACCTTTATGGTAAGAAGAAGGATTCACAAGAAGGATTCAGAAAGTTCAACCAGGCATTTGACGCAACATCATCAAAGAGCGTCGTCGAGCATTCGACGCAATTTGTTTCTCTCATATGTATTGAGAGAAACAAATACATACATACAACGCAAGGTATTTTTCTGTTTTATTTTACTTTAAATTTATCGGGTTAACGAGGTGAAAATTTTGAAAGATTAAATTTTATTATTTTTTAAATGTCATGTCAGTTATTAAACTATCAATTATGAGAATTGACTGTCACAACAAATAAAGTTGACGGAATTGGACTGTTAGTGATCAAATTTAAACTGTTAAACTAATTATAATGACCATAATCACAACAAATAAAGTTGACGGAATTGGACTGTTAGTGATCAAATTTAAACTGTTAAACTAATTATAATGACCATAATCAAAAGAATTCTTTTTTTCTCTCGTTTAGCGAGAGAAGGGAGGTGGCGGAAACCCTAGGGTTTTTCCGAGTTTTTAGGTTTGTAACTGTTCCGGCTGCCAATACTCTCCGACGGTGGAGTTTTTCGCCGTTTGTGGTACCACACCGTAGACTGTTTCCGGCCATGGTCGGATTCCAGAGGAGGGCCTCTTATGTTAATCAAAAGAATTAAACGAGTCTTACTCTCCCACTCGCGGGAGGTTTCCGGCAATAGTGCCGTTTTCAGCCAAATCCAGGTCGTTCAATGGTGGCTAAGAGGCGCCGTTAGTTTGCTAAGCTTCCGCCCACATAAAATACTAGCTTGTGCCAAGGAGATGATGGTGAAGATTTTGGAACCGACGAGATCTGCAATTTGGTTTCCATATTTGGCCTCCTTGATTGCAAGACGAGCCTTTCTCTCCGCCGCTGTTATTCTATTCTTCGGCGATTCGATTTCAACTTCCTCCTGCAGATCTGAGAATTCAACGCTCCCTCGCTCAATCCATTACCGGAGCAGCTGGAAGAATTAGAGCCGAGCCGATCAACATCCTCCTTCTCTGCCGCGTCCGGCGCCGTCGCGCTAGGGCTCGGGGAGCACGTCTGGATCTCTCCATTCCGGCGACCGTCACCTGCTGCCGTGGTATCGACTAGGTCGGACATTTTCAACCAAGAAAATTCCTATTGTTATGGTATTCTTGCTCCGGCGGCGCCGCGGAGGTTGACTTTCCTACGCTTGGTGGGAGGAAGACGAGGAGAAGAAGAGGAAGGAGGAGGGGAATTAGGCGTTCAACAGCTAACTTGGCAGAACTAACCATGAATCCTAGCTGGTGGGCTGCTATGAATTTTAACTTCGGATATGTTTACCTGATAACCATGGTTGTCATGCCGGTGGCATGCCACCCGGTTGAACCTGGTTCAATCTGTGTCGGTCATGAAACCGGCATGACACCACCGGTTTGATCGACTTACGCATTCTAAGTAAAATAACATAATTTTAATGAATTTAATGAATAAAAAATTAAATTATTATTCATTTTATAAATGTAATAATTAAAAGTTGATGATATTTGTTGGATTATGTTAGTCCGGCCCAATTCCCAAGAGATGGGTCAAATGTCATTCAATATCTCAGTTTTAATCAACCAACACACATCGATTATATTCACTAGTTAATAAACAGAAAATAATGCTTCAAATGTAATCCCCCAGACAGACATTCACTAGTTTTAGTCAAAACGTTATTTTGAGTCGGGGCGGAGGGAGAGGGCAAATGGGTGGGTCCCGGGACCCACCCTAGCTCGGGGAAAAAAGGACTAAATTAGGTATAACAATTAATTGATTCGGAAAATTAGAGTATGTTTAATTGATAATCGTTGATCGAAAGGTTTTGTGTTCTAGTTTTGACGACCTCATTCATTAAGCACATATAGTATTCGAATTTGTGCAAACTTAAATTCCACATAATTTGATTTTCTTATAACGGGGTATGTTGGTAAATGGTATAAAATATATTATTGAACTTCAACCAACAACTCTAGTTATTGATACTATGGTTATTGACAAAGAACACAATTCGAAAGCGAACAAATAACTAAATCATGAATAATTATTTGTATAAGATTCATTATTAAACCTATAGTAAATAATTATTGGCAAATAACATCATTCGAAAGCGACCGAATAACTAAATTATGAATAAATGTTTGGTATATAGAGAGAGTGATATTCTTAATAGTTTTGACTATTAATGTATTTTATTTTATAAAAAATTTTAAATATAAAATTATATTATGAATAATTAAAAAAATTAATAAAAGTTATTTCATCATATATATTTTTTCAAAGTGGACCCACCCTGGTCGAAATCCTGGCTACGCCCCTGATTTTGACTGTACGTAGTACGTCTTCTTCCCTCTTCCTTTATACCTGCATGCAGCGACATTGAAAACACCCGCGTGCTCATCGTAGTTCCCGCGAACGTGCATGCATGTGGCTGCAGAGTTCAAGATCAGTATACGGGTTGATTATTATGACTAGCTAGGGATACGATACGATTATATATTTTTTCAAGGATGATCAATAACTGCAACCCGAAAAATCGTGCTTCTGTTTCCGCGATTATATATATACAACAACAATGAGCTCTCATCAGTCATCAGTAGTTCTGCATCAGGTTTTCCATTTTGGTTTCTAGCGAAGTCTAAAAAAAGTCCGCAGTACTGGGTCAGAGTCTGAATTCTTGTGGTTTTGCCGTATCCTGTCCTAGCTAGAAAATGGACGATCATCAGCAGAATATAATCGTCAAAGTGAAGAGCATGGTACGTACACTGCTCTCCACAATGAATTCCAAAAGATACATGCAGTAAGTACTACTCTTGTTTAAACGTAGGAATGTACGTACGTACGTATGTTACAGGAGGACGGTGGTAGTATCCTGTTCCGAATCAACACAGCCACGCCGTTGCGGAAGCTGATACTAGCGTACTGTGAATGGAAAGAGCTGGTGGCCGACGATATTCGTCTCGTACACAAAGGCCTCCAACTGGAACGTGACAGGACCCCTGAGCAGGTCGGCCTTCCACCTTCTACTGATGATAAAACAAAACTCTCTCTGATAATATTCTTTTTGCAAGCTAAGTAGTTTTGGTATCTGACAATTTTTTTTCCCCTTCTTTTTCTGTGGCATTGATCCGTGCTCGCGTGTGCAGTATAAGATAAAGGACGGATCTGTTATCTATGCATTGTTGACTTTGAGAGGATCTTAATGCAAGCGCCCAGGGAGGACTGCGTACTACGATGTGATTTGCTCTTCAACCGTCCTTCTGTTCTTCATTTTTCGTTATATCTCGGATCTACCTGTCTATTGTGTTTACTTACTTACGTTCGATGTTATTGTTATTATGAGCTACCGTACTTTGTTTCTTCCAAAACATCTATCTTACTCCAAACAGAACCGTCACAGAGAGAGGAAGGTTGTGGAAACCTCGAATTTTTAAACGACTCTAAACGTTATTCTCACTGCAAGAAAATTGTTCTTTCATCACAACATTTTTATACCTGGATGCTGGGCAAGAATATGGGCCACACGCCCACACCATTCACCTCTTGGGAGGTGGGACAAAAACCCAAAAGACTCTATTCTAACACTGTAAATTTGTTAATTATTTCAATTTTTAATTACCCAAACGAGGAATATAATTTATAATTTCGGTCCAATCACTTTATTTGAAAACAATTGAGCCAAACTAATTTATTTGACTGCATAAAATTTGGATGGAGTGACATGAGGAATTTCAAATTGTTCTCGTTTCTCAATTACTCCGTCCAAACGACCCCAATTAAATTAACTCGTACTTAAAATTCTATGCCTAATTCTTTTGTTGTCAAACGAGTTATTTAGATCCAATTAACTTATTACATCTAACTCTTTTATTTTCAAACGAGTTATTGAGACCCAATTAACTTAAATAGTGAATGAATTTCTAATCCGTTCTCCCATTTTATGTGGTCATAACCTTCATTCTTCATCAGATTGATGAGAATTTGGGAGACAAATCTCAAGTTTCCTTATTCGCAAGTTTCTTGGCTTGAGAGCTGTCGCAAATCTGTTTACTTCTGAATAAACAATTGTTCCATGTTGTCACGCCTTGAACGCTTGCTTCATGAAATGTAAGAGTATATATTGTTCACTACATTGTACTGTAAGATAACTGTTAGTGCAAGAGAGTTATCTCATCCTTAATATGATCTATTATGAAACTCATGAGTTATGAAAGGAATAGGAGTGTTATATTTGATTCAATTGGTTATAAGAATAAGGAGTTATCATAGATTAATAACTCCAAAAAGTTATGTTTCTATTGTAAGTCTTCCATGATGGATGGTTGAGATGAAGTGTAAAGATAAAACTTAATAGGAATTTTGATCCTCTCTCCACCTATAAATTGTATGATTTGGACTATCACAATAACATATCATAAGAAACAGATATATCAAGTAACTTATAGGCTATGAGAGAGAACCCCCAAAATTCAACATTGCTACTTCTTCATAAGCTCCCTCTCAATCACCATGGAAGGAGGTATTCTTCTAATCTCTTTCCTATTTCGCTAGCTTATAACTCGGCTCGTTGGCCGATTAACATTATGCATGTTCATATTTAATTGTTTGTATTCATTAGAAACACGGTCTATTAATGAAAGTATGAAACAAATCATAGAATCCAACACTGGACCATAAGTGCATTCGATCTGGTGGGATCCGATGAAGTTCGTTCGAAATGTCCCATCAGAACATTTTTCTTTTGAACTTGTATGATTGGTAGGATGAAGGTCCAGGGCATATTAGATTCAATTCGATAGGTTGGTCAAAGCTGTGTTGCGTCCAGTGTGGTTTGGGGTTGACCATCAAAACTTGAGAGCAAATGACAAAATTAAAGTTACATACAATATACTAATAGACTCGATCAAAGTAATGAGGCACATAATTAGACACTATTTATCTACAGGTTCTAGTAGTTTGAATTGTGAATCGACCTTAAATATAGTAAATCAATCAATGATTCCTCGTTTTAACATAAACATGGGTTGTGGTAGTTGCAACAACCATAACACCTAAAGATCCAATAGTTTCCACTCTCCGTTGTACAACCAACTTTTTATCCCTCCATCTTCCATCTCTCGACGTATATGTTTTAAACCAAAATTCAATTTCTAATTCTCCTTCTGCAACTCCATTTATGCTACTTTGATGGACCTTCTCTCCATGAACCTGAACACTACAGGAAAAATGATCTTTGGCAACACTTGAAATGTGTTGCAAGAAGTGCCAAAAGTGTTGCATATGTGATATGCAACATTTTTAGTAGTGTCCTCTATAGGTGGTGTTGTATAAAGTCATAGGTAACATTATTTTAACTTCTTGCAACAATAAAAAATGTGTTGCTTATACATACCACTTTAGACAACACCATTATAAGTAACACCTCAAATAATTTATGCAACACTTTTTAACAGGTATAAGGAACATGTATATGCTTCATTTGTGACCGATTTTGTTGTTGCAAAAGACTTACACGATCGTGGCAACTTTCTCTTGTATCAAATAGAATACATTTGTGTCCAAAATTTTGTGAGCAAAGCTAGTTTTGTGACAAGTTTGTGTTGACACAAATATCTATCAAATGTCACAACTTCAATTTTGTCACAAATTTATTACTTTCGTGATGGTGCCATTGTCACAAAAGCGAGTTTCAATAAGCATAGTGGTGTCATTAAAGTAACTATCTGTGACAAATTCTTTTATCACATATGCATAACATCTGTGACAAATTCGAATTAACTAAAATTATATAAATGTGACGATTAATTTGTCACCAAAAGTATTTACAAATGTAATGATAGTATTAGCATCTTATACATGTGCTAAAGGTATAAATAATAAATACAACAATATTATTCTCAAGGTATTGGAAAGTGGAAGCTTTATATGACTTGAAAGTAGTGCTTCCCTTGGTGACTTTGTCTTCTCGATCGGTCCTCTTTTATCTTCACCTGATTTCTTCTTTGTTTTATTACTACATACCTTAACATTTAAAGCAAATGTCATCAACCAAATAAGAAACTTTGAATTATTGAATCTCAAACTGAAAAATGAGGAGGTATAGATTGTAGCTAGTGAAATTATCAAATTAGAACTAACACACTAACTGAAATCGTAGTTATAAAGTCAAGGAGTGTAATCCTAGCTACATGCAATAAGCACAAAGCCCCAACTACTGTTAAGAATATAACCTATATATACACAGAAGAATCAAACTAACCAGAGAAATTATTTTTATAGTTAAACATGAAAAACAAGGATAACAAACACATTATATGCAAAAGAAGACATCTTGCAAGTTGCAACTGATCTCCCTGCAGGGAAGATATCTCCAAGTTCCTATTTTTTCCCCTACAATCCAATTGAGATGTTTTCACAATTATATGAAAAAGAAGGGGGAAAGCAACGTATGTAAAGTTTATGGACTAGAGATTTACCGATGGATAAATCAAATCTGTGGTTCTTAAGCACCCAATACACCTAGCACAGGAGGAATACTTGAAAAAACAGTGAACGAAAGTATCAATAGGTCGAAAAGTTCATTAATGACTCATCAAATTAACGGAAGAACTAGGAGAGGTACGAAACTGAACCTGATTGTTGGACGCAATAATGCAAGGGTCCTCACGTACAAGTCACAACCCTTCTCCTCTGCAATTCTCTCTAATTTTCATCCACCCATGCATCTTTACTTTCTGTTATCCATGATCCATAATATACGTGTCCTAAAGCCTTTCTAATTTAAATCCCCATTCACAAAAACCTAGGACACCAACTATCATCCTAACGACAATACTACCACCACTAGTTGCACCACTACGGCTAATTCCCACGTTTACTAGCATTGATCCATCCATTCAAGTAATTGTTCAATTAGTTCATGTATAATTCCTTGACAAATTATATACCAATCCCTTTGTGATCCTTAATCTCAATCATGAAATAAAAACTGACAACTAACCTCCGTCATTTGCAAAATCCAAACCGAACCCAAGATTGAAGTGGACACGGGAAAACCACCTACTTAATTAGCTTCCAATCCAAGTTCCAGGTGGTGTTACTTCATAGTACCTTGGTGCACCAAGCTCCACGGCTTCCTGTCACCAGGTTGCTTCCCGTGCCCGGCAATCGTCATCCTTCTTATGTACAAAATATTGTACAGCTTTGGTTCCCATATCGCCGTGCGGCTCCATTGAATCCCGACGCCGAAACATCACCATTGGAGACGTCTGTTTCTTCGGATCGGTCTCCGATGCCGCAGCCCGCCATTGATTCATCGGGACTGCCGTCAATTCTTGTTCCGGGGGTCTAAGTAGGTGGATTCCGTTCTTGGAACCATTGTCGAGAGAGGGACGAGCTGGAAGGCGATTTGGAGATGTGTTTATCGGCTGATCTTATCAAAGAACGGATTTTTCTCGACGGCTTGCTGCTGGGATTATTTTAGGGTTTAGTTTATTTTGATTATAAGGAGTGGAGGGAGGCCGAGAGGTAAAGGAAATTGGCTGCGAAAAAGTTCGCTCATGGTACACAAACTCTTTTTCACATTATTCAAAGTGCAAGTTCAATTTGTTTTAATTGTAGTGAAGTTGTAATTAATTTTAAATCTATGTATTTAATAATACCAATATAAAAGGACTATAGGATTGGTATAATATGTAACATTTTTTTCGTAATTGTTAGCTAAATATAAGAATAGGCAACACAATTTTATTTTATCACACGAGTGTTGTGTAATATAAACTATATGCAACAATAATTTAAGTTATGCTAATTTGTGTTGCATAAGATATATATTAAGCAACACATTTTGTAAGCGTTGCCTATATTCATTTTACGTGACACTTCTAAAAAGTGTTACAGGAAGAGTGTTGCCAAAGACCACTTTTCCCGTAGTGGAATTTCTCTATCAATTGAGTTTCTTGTCAGCTTGATCTCCAACTCATCAATCCTCTTTCTTGTATTTGGCCAACTCATCTTCCTCGGGGCAGTTTTAATAAGCTCGTAAAACCAACACTCATCTTCAATTCCATCAATATGCTCTTCTCCTCCTTCTCTGCCTTCTCCTGATCCAGTTCACTTCCATGCCCTTCAATACCCTCTCCATTTTCATTAATATCCTGATCATCTACAACTTCTCTCTCTTCAATTGCTCCGATTTTGCTTCTATGTCTTACAATAACCTCCTTGGTTCAATCATTAATGCAAACTACTTTCATGACTTTTTATACACCTTCCTCAAAATCACAATCAACTAACCAATATCAATCCATGCCCTTGGATCAGTTTTAAACTCTCTATGAACATCGCAATACCACACAGTCTAAATCTAAATATTCTTTCAGTTAATCATGAACTTGAGTTTATCAAAATATACTCCTTCTAAGTTGGAATTCTCATCCCCCAAGCTCATTTTTGGTTCATTTGATCCCACATAACCATGA